TACATCAGGAAATTTGTTTAGGCATAATTTAGTGTAATATTTCGGAGGTGGTGTAAAATTTCGAAATATTACACTAAAAATGTAATATTACAAAAGTTTACACTTTTAAATTTGAATAATTATAGTAATTTAAAATATCTCGCTATCTACTGATCCAATCAAGACGATCTATAGCTCATTGGAACGAGACGAATCAAATGCTGTCTCTTATACACATCTAGATGTGTATAAGAGACAGATTTAAACTAACTAAATTCTTTATTCAAAAAATTATTTCATAGATGGTATGATGTTATTTATTTAATTCTATTATTACTTATTTATATAATATTTACATATAATTTAAACTAATTAAATTCTTTATTTATAATATTATTTAATAATATAGGGCGTAAGTTATTTATTTAATTCCATTATTACTTATTTATATAATATTTATTATTTACATACAATTTAAACTAACTAAATTCTTTATTTAAAAAATTATTTTATAGATGGTATGTTATTTATTTAATTCTATTATTTAATATTTACATATAATATGAATTAACTAAATTCTTTATTTAAATAGATAGTAAGTTATAAGTTATTTATTTAATTCTATTATTACTTGTTTATATAATATCTATATATAATTTGAACTAACCAAATTCTTTATTTAAATAGATTGTAAGTTATAAGTTATTTACTTAATTCTATTATTACTTATTCATATAATATTTACGTATAATTTGAAGTTTTAAACTAACTAAATTCTTTGCTTAAAAAATTGTTTTATAGATGGTATGTTATTTATTTAATTCTATTATTACTTATTTACATAATATTTTCATATAATTTAAACTAACTAAATTCTTTATTGAAAAATTATTATTTAATAATATCTGATAGGGAGTAAGTTATTTATTTAATTCTATTATTACTTATTTATCATATAATTTAAACTAAATTCTTTATTTAAAAAATTATTTAATATTATAGGGCGTAAGTTATTCTATTATTACTCATTTATATAATGTTTACATATAATTTAAACTAACTAAATTCTTTATTAAAAAATGATTTTGTAATTTCTTTAGTTGGTAAGTTATAGGTTATTTATTTAATTCTATTATTACTTATTTGCATATAATTTAAACTAACTAAATTCTTTATTTAAATAATTATTTTATAGATGGTATGTTATTTATTTAATTCTATTATTACTTATTTATACATATAATTTAAAGTTTTAAACTAACTAAATTCTTTATTTAAATAGATACTAGTAAGTTATAAGTTATTTATTTAATTCTATTGTTACTTATTTATATAATTTACATGTAATTTAAACTAACTAAATTCTTTATTTTTATAGATGGTATGTTACTTATTTAATTCTACTATTACTTATTTATACAATATTTATATACTAATTTAAACTAACTAAATTCTTTATTTATAAAAATTGATTTAATAATATAGCTTGTAAGTTATTTGTTGTTTGTATTTTATATAATACTTATTTGTTAATTGAATTTTTTCATTCAAATTTCTGTTACTTTAGTTGGTAAGTTGTAGGTTATTATTATTATATATATTTATACAAAAACTAAGACATACAGTATATTATATTAAATTTTTATTTAAATTTTAGAGTAAGTGTTGATTTTAATCTTATAACTTTTGATATAAATTTCAATATAATTTCAATTATTTAAATTTGTAGATTTGGAAAAAGTGGAAATGTAAATATGGATAACTTTATTTTAGAAAAAAAATTAAAATGGATTCCTTATGATAAATTTAAAAATATTGAATATCTTGATAAAGGAGGATTTGGTACTATATATAAAGCTAATTGGTTAATTAATAATGAAGATAAAGAAGTAGTTCTTAAATGTCATGATAATTTAAGTGAAAATTTAAATGAATTTTTAAATGAAGTATGATAATATATTATTTTATTTTATAATTTAAATCATAATTTATTTATACTAATATATTATGATTTTTTTATAGTGGAAATATCACAAAAGTTGTTTAGGTTCAGATAAAATTATTTATTTTTATGGCTTTACAAAAGCTCCAAATACTTTGAAATATATGATGGTAATGGATTATGCAAATGGAGGTAATTTAAGAGGAAACTTAACAAGAATAATCGAAATTGTTTGGAATCAAAAATTATATATGTTACATGAAATTATTTCTGGACTTAATAATATACATGAACAAAATCTTATTCATTGTGATTTTCATGATGGTAATATTTTAAATCATTATGAGAATAAAATTTATATTAGTGATTTAGGATTATGTAAACCTGTAAAATCATTTATGAAAAAATATGATATTTATGGTGTTATACCATTTATGGCACCTGAAGTTTTAAGAGGCAAATCTTATACTCCAGCTAGTGATATTTATAGTTTTGCTATGATTATGTGGGAATTTACATCTGGGGTAACACCATTTAATAATAGAGCACATGATGTTCAACTTAGTTTAAGTATTTGTAAAGGTGAACGTCCTGAAATTATCAAAAATACTCCACAATGTTATGTAGATTTAATGGAAAAGTGTTGGGATGAAAACCCATTAAAAAGGCCATCTTCTAAAGAAGTTTTGAATATTATTAAAAATTGGGTTTTTTTTTCAGGTAAAGGGGAAGTTGAAGATATTAATGAAAAATTGAAATGTAATATTATGGAATTTATAAATGCACCAATTGGGCATAACAATAATCTTTCTATTGAATCTCATCCACAGTCATGTTATACAAGTCGCTTACATGGTTTTACTAGTAAACAATTGAATGAAATTCTTGGAAGTAGAGATTTACAAGCTTATTATTCAAGTCAATCTACTAGTGGAAAAGTGAATGAAATTCTTGAAAGTGAAGATTCACAAGCTAGTGTAAAAGTGGATGAAATGCTATTAAGTGAAAATTTGGATGATTGTATATTTAATTTGAAGTCATTAGGTATGTAATATAGTATATAAAAAGAATTAAATTTTATGAATTATTTATATGAAATTAATTTAATTATTTAATTATTTAATTAATTAGATATTAAAACAGACAAAAAATAACTAATTATAAAAATTTATAGTTTTTTTTAAAGTGATATTTGATGTCATGCATTTAACAGAAATTGTTTAGATTTATTTAAACACTAAGGCTAAAGTAGTAAAATAGTTTACAAATTTCTTAGTTTGTAATTTAAATAATTCCTTTTTTTTATAGCTTATCCAAGAATTAAATATTATATTCTCTTTTATTTTACTTAGAATTATTTAAGCACTAAGACTAGAGTAGTAAATATTTTACAAGTTTCTTAGTTTGTAATTTAAATAAATCTTTTTTTTTAACTTTTCCAATTATTATATATAAATTATCAAAATAATAATATAAAACCATGACCAATAATGTGTTGGCTTTTATTTTTAAAAATTATATATTAAGACAAGACATTACATTATACATCAGGAAATTTGTTTAGGCATAATTTAGTGTAATATTTCGGAGGTGGTGTAAAATTTCGAAATATTACACTAAAAATGTAATATTACAAAAGTTTACACTTTTAAATTTGAATAATTATAGTAATTTAAAATATCTCGCTATCTACTGATCCAATCAAGACGATCTATAGCTCATTGGAATCAGACGAATCGAATGGTAGTAAAATCGCATTTCTACAGTTGATAGAATGTTCTATAGTATGCAATAAAGTTTTAAATTAATAGAAAGTTATCTATCAAACGTAAAGATACGATTTTACTACCATTCGATTCGTCATGATGAGCTGATTCCAATGAGCTATAGATCGTCTTGCTTGGATCAGTAGATAGTGAGATATTCTTAAATTACTATAATTATTCAAATTTAAGAGCATAAACTTTTGTAATATTACGTTTTTAGTGTAATATTTCAAAATTTTACACCACCTCCGAAATATTACACTAAATTACGCCTAAACAAATTTCCTGATGTA